ATGAGATAATTTGCAGATGGAATGAGTTTTTTTTATTCTTAAAATAAGATAATTAGATAAAATGCACTTGAATTAAGACAATGCAATTGCGTTTTCTTATTTTAAATTTAAATTGTCTAGTTCCATTGGAAAAATGTCTCTTTTACTTCCTAAATCCAAAAACAAATGCACTTATTTTAAGAAAAAATAATATATTTTTTTATAATAATAAATAATAATTTGATTTTATTGATCTCACATTAGAGAAATTTCCCTCTCTGCATTGAACCCCTCCCCTTGGGGAGCAGGGGGCTGCCAGTGTGCGGCTCCCAGGGAGCAGAGTGGGGTTAAGGGTCTTGCTCATGGACCCAGAGTGAAGGCAGTGGGGATTGAACCGGGGACTCAGAGGGCAGCGTGCTGCTCTAACCACGGGGCAATCACTCCCTCAATACCAAACCTGTACAGATAACAGATTGTCCATTTACAAAAGGTGCTTTAAAGAGATAAAAAAAAGCCTTAAAAACAAGCTAAAGTGCAGTAGCCTGTTAGCTTTGAAAAAAATTAGACATCCTTTTTTTCATTGAGTGTATTTTTTTTTATCTAGCTACAGTTTTTTCTGCTGGTTTGACATCAGTTGCATACAGGAAGTCACTCAATACTAAATAAGGAAAATTAAAATCAGGATATTTATGAAAGTTTAGCTTCAAACTTAATGATTTTAGTTCTATAAGCTAAAACATTCATTTTGCCTTTATGTGAAATACTGTCAGTAAAAAAAATGGACAAGTGGCTTCAGGACCTCATAGAACATAGAAGTGAAGCACATAGCAGTGCTGCTAGAATGATACATAGATACGCTTCACTTTCTTAGAAAAACTTCATGTTTTAGGGCAAAACCTGAAAGCAGGAGAATGTTTGGCTCCTAATTCAACAAAGTATTTATTTTTCACATCCCAGGATTCAGCTTTAATCCAGGAACCGTGGAGACGTATCTGACATCACCAGTTTTTGGGCGGGGCTGTTGGTTGGGGGGGGGGTAAAGCATCAAGCTGCATTTACCTTTGTTTAGAGACACAGAGGGGGCTCTGTTTGTCACAATGGAGCTTGGGGGGGTTTGTTGGGAGGGGGGCACTAGTTAGTGTGTGTCCTCTGCACGAGTGTGAGTAAAGCCATACCCGGCCTGATCAGCTAAGGCCCCACCCCGTTGTGGAATCTGCTGGGTAACATGCATGAAGGACGCCAACATGAACAGCAAATAAGATGGACAGAAGCTCATAAATCAGCTTCTATGTCTCAACATCTGTCCTCAAACTCATCAGTTCTTAGGATATCAAAGAACGTTTTCATTATATTAGCTTTAAAGACCTTCATATACCAGAATAAAACCTTTATTTTACTGTAATCTAGTAAGAACGTTTGTCCGCCACTGGTTATTAATAAACAGCTTTTATAGGGACTAATGAGGAAAAGTCCGGTCAGCAAAGAATGATCAATGCATCATTATTTATACCTAAAACTAATATGTTTCCGGTGATTTAATCAATTAAGCATTAATCAGTAGAAAAAACAAAGCAGCCATTTTTGCCCAAATCTAGTAACCCCTCCCTCCTGCCATCTTCCAGCAGTGACGTCACGGTGCGGTAAGCCTAGCGCCGTTCTCCCCGCTTTCCAAGCTAAATCAATGGGAACTACTAGACACATCTGCAATCAACAACAATTATTGAAGATTTCCAGAGGACTTCACCATTGAAATTCACCAGAGCTATAGTGAAACTGACAATGCCCACGTGCATGGCAGCTGGATGCTGGAATACATCGGGGAAAAGTGGAAAAAAGAGTTATTCCACCTTTCTGATTCCTGATCCTCCACGGACGGGTTGGTCGTTGGATCGCCAACTTGAAGAGGGAGGATTTGCCATCGAACTTCTGGCCAGAGAAAAAACCCGTAATATGTAGCCAACATTTGGAAGAAGAATGTTTTCAAGATGACTTGGATAATAGCGCGTTGTGACAAACACCAGATACAGCACTGGGACTTGATCAACAGCCGATACCGCACCGTGACAATGTCACTAACCAGTAGGTGGCAGTAGTGTTCTTTGACAAACATGGATGCCTCCAGTAAAGCACATTCACATGAAAATTACTCTGAATTAAAAACACTGATCATTTATTGAACAGGATGGAATCATTTCAGATTTAAAGAACTTTCAGAAGTTTGAATTCTGAATATGAGCGACTTTTCCTTTAACCAATTAGAAAGACACGATAGCACATTTATTCAAATTTGAGTTTCCTTCATTTTGGTCTTTTAGGAGCCAAAGGAGATAGTTGAAAGGAGGGCTACTAAAGGATTATTTGTAGATAAAAACTGTATTTATAAGTAAAAAAAAGGACACATTCAGAACCTTTAAGGTGTTTTTGGTTAACCAATGATAGAGAGTAATATGAGCATGCATCAAACTTCCACAGCAAATATAGTTCATAGGAAAGAAACCTGGACTTCTTTGTCTCCTGTGACCCATTTCTCGTTTCTCTTTAGGGATCCTAAAGCGTTATTGTTGTTTGTCTGGAGCAGAACCCAGATTAGTGCTGATGAGGTCCAAATGTGTTCGTCCATCTCCGTTCAATCATACATTATAGAATGATCAAATGCAGCAGGGGTTCTGGTCCAACCAAAACACCTCATTTGTCCATTTTACTTTAAAGTCTCAGTATTACGCATTGGCCATGTTTGCACCCACACACACACACACAGTGAACGGCTGACCTCACAGCTTTAGATTATTAATCGTAGACTCTAAATCCTCCCCAGAACTTCCTCAGAAACCTGGTCTGTGGCATCAGCTAAAACTGAAGGGGAAGGAAAACAGAAAGCCGACAAGTTAGCATGTTTTAAAAGTCCGAGCTTGGGTCACGACCTGTGAAACAGCTGCAGGATCCAGAAAAATGCGGCCATGTTTTCCCAGCGTTGAACAAAGTTGTGGTTTTCTTTGGAACAGCAGCGACTCCAGAGGTCTGTGCTGCCGTTCGTTCCTCATGTTACGCCGTTTTACAGCAGTTAGCTCTAATATTTTATGTTGAATATATTTTAAGAAATAATAATTGTTAAATGGAAGGAAATGATTGACATGGTAAAAAAAAAAAAAGTAAAAAATCTGAAAAGTGCGGCATGCATTTGTAATTGAACTCCTCTGTCTTTGCTCAATGAGCGCTTCGAGCTGCTCTCCAGACTTTAGTCTTTTGCAGAATGTTACTCTTTCTCCTGTCCCCATTTTCCCGTCATTAGCACCCCCCCCCCCCCCCCCCATACTAATAGGGGTGCGATGGTGCGTTCAGAATGACCTGCAGACCTGCACAGTTAGTTTGATAGTATTTTACAAATGGTTTTCTCATCTGATCAGATCACCTTCTTGCACTTTTTCTTGTTTCCTTTGTAGCTCGCTGTTCTCAGGGCTTTCTTTCAACAAATGTTTTTTTTTTCCATGCTCAAGTGTCCAGAGGGTCCAGAGGTAATAGTTGCCGTGTCGACTGATGTGAAAGAGTTTAAAGGGGTGGGAATACTTTTACAGGCTGCTGTCTTGTACTGATGGTTTTTTTTTCTTTTTCTTTCGTTTTAATTCTGTCTCTTTCCCTCTATTCTATATTTGCTTCAATGCGGTTCAGTAACATCTTTAAATGTGTATCTAAAGAATGCACTGTGGAATGTTGGAGCTTGGCCTGTTTTCCAGTGTAGTCCTGTTTCTCTGACTGTGACTAACTGGATGTGCTCTCTTCATCCTCTGACATGGGAGCTGGCTCGGAGCTCGTCTGCCTGGCTGTGTGTTTCCTGGATGGGGCCGCCTGTGGAGCTGGTTGACAGTTGCCTTTTGTATCTATGCTTCTTTTTCTATGTCTGCTTCTGTCTCCTTGAACCCCAGTGGGCCTCAGCAGATGGCCGCTCACACTGAGCCTGGTTCTGCTGGAGGTTTCTTCCTGTTCAAAGGGAGTTTTTCCTCTCCACTGTCGCTACTAGCATGCTTAGTGTGAGGGATTGCTGAAGAGTCAATGAGTCGATGCAATCAGCTGGTTTTCCTTAGATAGAAAACTTTGAATCAATCTGACTGGATGATCTGGTGAACTGGAAAGTGACCTGAGATGACATGATGTGAATTGGAGTTATAGAAATACACTGAATAGAATTGAATTTAAAAAATCTATCTGGTGCTGAATGTTTGCTGTGAAGCTGAGACATGCAAAAACCTAAACTTTCTGCTCCCTGATTATTTTTGTGAAAACTGGTGATTGTCTGCTGTAGCTTTACTTCTAAAGGAAGAGGAAATGGACAGCAGTGTGAGGCGGAGGAGGTGGTGTGTGTTGCTTCTCCTCCTGATGGTGTGTGTGTGTGTGTGTGTGTGTGTGTCGCTCTGCCTTGGCACTCCCCAGCCTCTCTCTGAATGTGTGTGTGTGTGTGTGCTGTAGCTGGGCTTCCAGAAAAGGGTGTGTCGCTTGCCTGCCACTGAAAGGGAGGGAGGGGTCAGTACAGGGCTACTCCTCCCTGCTCTGTCTGTTATTTCTCTTTCGTTCTCATTCCCTCAGTGTCAGCCTCAGGATTTAGGCCTTTGTTTCTCTGCCTCCTCTTCTCTCCTCTCTTCTCTGAACTTTTGCTTGAAATCTTCCCTGATTTTCTCCTCCTGAGTGAGTGTGAGCCGGGGGTTTTTACCCCCTCTTCTGGATGGTTTTAGTGAGGAGGTAAAGCTTGTCATCAGGGTTTGAACCTCCACTCTACAGCTTCTATTCTACCTGACTCTATATTTTTTTATCCTTTTTTTTCCTCCTAATTTTGAACTTTTTTTTAACTCCCCAGCTCCCCAGCTCCAAACTTTTCTCCCTACCTTGCTCTGACCCCTCCCCCCTTTTACCCCCTCAGCTACCCCCTTATCACCTCCTCTCCTCCCCTCTCTACCCTCACCCCCCTCCAACCATCTTCTGCACAATTTGTACCTTCCTCCCTCTAATCGTCTTCCGCTTCTCCTCCTCAGTGCCAGTCAACTCCAAAGCAGAGGAAGAGCGCCGCCGGTGCCCGAAAGAAGCAGAGGAGCCCGGCCAAGCAGAGCACCGTGACCCAGCAGCCGTCATCGCCGCCGCCGTCCTCGCCTCCGCCCCCCGCAGACCATCGAGACCAGGAGGAGGAGGAGGAAGTGGCGACTGGGCCTCGGCCGCCGCACCAGGAAGAGGAGACGCTGAAGGAAGCGGGGACCGCCGGCGTCCGGGTGAAGCAGGAGGAAACGGAAGAGGAGAAGGAGGAGCAAGGCCAGAGAGACATGCCCTCTGTCCAAATCAAACCAGAGCCAGAGGAGATGGAGTGCACGGTGAGGAGGGGCGGGGGCGGGGTTCTGGGTGGGGGGTGATGGGTGGATTCATCAGGAGGGATGGGGGCGGATGAGGTTATGAAAGAGAATCTGTCAGGTGTAGGTGGGTGAAGCAGGTGATGACATGTTTCAACATGTCTTCGTTTAAATCTAGGGAAGGTTTGGGTTCAACTGCTCAGGTTGTTGGATTATTCTGATTTAATTAACATTAAAGAAAACAAACAAGAAAGGAGGAAGATCCACAAGTCTGCAGGATTCTGGTTGGTTTGTGTGATCCATGTTTTCTTTAAATAACTTCCTCATTTTATTTATATGGGATAATATGACAGGATGGCTTTAGTTAACCTTACGCTGAAAGACTCCCGCTGGAGGCCTGGTTATCGTCCCGCAGCAGAGTGTCGCACTGAGCGTGACGCAGGTTGGTTTGATTTGAATGCCCAACATTGAAGCGTGGTCTGCGCTATGTTATTCCACGCCACAACACCAGTCGGCCAATCAGGAGCTAGCTGTGGGTCTAGATAAGGCCGAGGCGGTGAGGAAGTGGGGGCAAGTTTGTGCGACAATGGAGGGACACGAAGGCCAAAAAGAGCGGGGATCCAGGTGGAAAAAGGGTCCCAGCGTTCTCGCGCACCTCAGATGTAGAATTGACCAATCAGAGGCCTCCTGTCTGCAGCTCTGTCTGCGGTGCAGCAGAGTGTCTGCAGAGGGGGGCATATCTGCATCTGCGCAGACGACCTGGTTTCTGAGTATAAACCGGCCTGAATAAGTCCGTCTTGTAACCACCAGCGGGTCGGACCAATGACGAGCCAGCAGGGTTTTTTGGGGCGGGACATGTAGGAATGACGACAGTCAGAAGGGCCTTGGCGGGGCGTTACTAACACGGCTACGCTGTAGGACTCACCTGTAGATTCCACAACTGACCTGGTTTTAGCTAAATTAGCGACAATTTCTCATTTAGAAAAGATGCAAAGAGAAGAACGTTGTGCATTTGTAGAGGAGAAAGATGTCTGTGGTTTCCTTACGACGGGATTTGGAAAAAGTTAGATTTATCAGGGGGAGTGGCGTTCTAGTGGTTGGAATCCTGAGGTTCTGAGTTTGAGCCCCACTCCCACAGACTGCCACTCTGGGTCCCTGAGCAAGACCCTTAACCCCACACTGCTCCCCGGGCGCCGCACAATGGCAGCCCACTGCTCCCCAAGGGGAGGGGTTAAATGCAGAGGTAAATTTCTCCGATGTGAGATCAATAACGTTCAGTTACTCCACTATTTGTGAAAACATCACGATTCGCTGCTACGATTGGCTGAAAGCGTGTTATGGGAGGCAGGTACTAGCTGGGACGTCAGCCAATCAGCTCAAAGTATTGCAGTAAACAGACAGAATGAAGAGCAGCCATCCCAGACTGATAATCTAGAACTCAGATCTATACATTAGACATTAGATTAACCAATAGATGAAGATTCTGAGGAGCTTTCAGAAGGTTCTGGTTCCTTCCTCCTTCCATCGCTCGGCCACCTAAGGCTAAAAACCTCCATATTAAAGCAGATGGCTCCTTTAGGACAACTGAAAACATCCCTTAACCTCCAAGGAGCGTCTTCATGCTGATAAAACCGATTTTACTTCTGCTTTTATTTTTGTGTTTTTTTACTCAGTCGTCAGAGTTTGTTGTTAGAGCGACATTGAAGGAGTTGCAATTGGTACGTTTACTGATCATGATAGCTACAGGCTGGTGGTCATTATTCAGACTGAAGGTACAGAAAAAATAAACTAGAAAAATGAACCAAAAAAAGCGATAAGATTTACCGTTTCAGCCATTGATTAATGTTCTGCAGTTTAACAACAGTGAGTGTATACTTTGATCAGAAACCGTCATCAACTTTAGGTTAACAGATACTTTCTGGCCTTAAAGAAGTTAAAGGAATAGTACACCCAAAACATGATTAGCCTTCATTTTCTACTCACCTCCATGCTGAACAACACTCTGGAGTACTTTTTTGATATCTCAAATGCATCTGGAGATCTGGGAGGCTTCTTGCTGTCTGCTGACATTCAAATAATGGAGGTCCATGGCGCCCGAGACAGAAAGGTCCATAAAAGTCCACAAAAACGTGTCAATATTCCTCCATACTGCTCGTCCAATGTAATCCAAGTGTCCTGAGTGGGTAGCATCCAGAATTTACTCGAAACGAAGTCATTTAGAATGTTTTTAGAGCATAAACAGTAGTGTATAGGATTTCCTAATAGCGCCCCCATGCGCGCTCACGATTCTACGGAAGCCGGCAGACCAAACCGGAAATGTGCTGTTTACCTGTGCAAAGAAAGAAACAACGAAAGAAAAATGTCTGAGGACTTCAGTGTTGAGGAAGAGCAGGAGTTCTTTGCCGAGCTGAATGCGCTGGTTTGGTCTGCCGGCTTCCGTAGAATCGTGAGCGCGCATGGGGGCGCTATTAGGAAATCCTATACACTACTGTTTATGCTCTAAAACGTTCTAAATGACTTCGTTTCGAGTAAATTCTGGATGCTACCCACTCAGGACACTTGGATTACATTGGACGAGCAGTATGGAGGAATATTGACAAGTTTTTGTGGACTTTTGTGGACCTTTCTGTCTCGGGCGCCATAGACCTCCATTATTTGAATGTCAGCAGACAGCAAGAAGCCTCCCAGATCTCCAGATGCATTTGAGATATCAAAAAAGTACTCCAGAGTGTTGTTCAGCATGGAGGTGAGTAGAAAATGAAGGCTAATCATGTTTTGGGTGTACTATTCCTTTAAGAAGGCAGATATTTTCTGTAAACTACCCACTTTAACTTTAGGGGAAAAAAACACCTTCAAAACTGACCTAAATACTTAGGACCTGAGTCGTTTCCACTTTGACAATTTTGGCCTGGATCGAGATATTGGAAAAAAAAAAAGAAATTCAGAAATAGTGATATTTTGTGACACTTTATACACAGATATATATATATATATATATATATATGTGTATGTATATATATGTATATATATGTATATGTATATATATGTGTATGTATATATATGTATATATATGTATATGTATATATATGTATATGTATATATATGTATATGTATATATATGTATATGTATATATATGTGTATATGTATATATATGTGTATATGTATATATATGTATATGTATATATATGTGTATGTATATATATGTATATGTATATATATGTATATGTATATATGTATATATGTATATGTATATATGTATATATATATGTATATATGTATATGTATGTATGTATGTATGTTTTTTGGGATAAAGATCATGGCTGATGGCAGAACATTTTTACCTTTTATGTTTTCAGAGATTCAAACTAAAGTCTAAAAACAAACAAAAAGACGTGAATCAGTTATTTTATCTGCAGGTCGTTTCTGCTGCAGTCAGACTTTATAATCTCTGCTGCTCACAATGACTGTTTACGTCACGCTAATGGCTGCACGGGTTCTAATCCCATCCTGAAGCGTTTAAACTGACCTCCCCCTCAGATGCTAAGCTAACTTCCTCATCCCTGAACTACTTAAGGATCTGTTGCACTATCATCCACATATTTGCATATAAGGTGTTACGTTGATTGACCGGAGTCTATTCCACAGTTTAAAAAGATTTTCTACTTTGCAATATTCTTATTTCCCATTTAGCTTTGCTAATAATGGTGTGTAACTGTGTGCGCCACTGTCATGCCAAAATGTCCCGCTGTGGGAAAGTAAAGCAATTCTTGAAAAATGCAGACTAGCAGCTATTTCTGCATAAAATGTTTGGCTAAACTTTGGGTTAAAGATGCTTTAGTTTAATGAAAGGCGTGACGGTGAAACCAGAGGGCCGCCGATTCGATTGTTGTGTCCTTAGCCAAGAAGCTGACCCCACACTGGAAAAAAAACGAAATGTAGATAAGACATTTTTTCTTAAAATAAGTGCATTTGTTCTTGGATTGAGGAGGTTAAAGCATCACTTTGCCAATGGAAGAAGACTATTTACATTTAAAATAAGAAAAAACAGTTGCATTGTCTTATTGTCTAATTTTCCTACACAAATTAAGGGTAAATCCACTTAATTTAAGACCTTTTTACTTATTTCCAGAATGTTTTTTCAGTGCACGTTGCGTACACTGCAAATGATAAAAAATTCGAAATAAGTCATTTTTTCTTAAAATAAGTGTTTTGTCTAGAAATGAGGAGGTAAGGGAGACACTTTGCCAATTGAACAACACAATTTACATTTTAAATAATAAAAAACACTTAAACTGTCTTATTATAAGTCCATTTGATCTCATTTTCTTATTTTAAGAGTAAAAATCCTCCTTCCATTGGCAAAACATGTCATTTAACTCCTAGAATTCAGGTTAAATGCACTTATTAGAAGAAATGTTTACTTATTTGTAGCTCGGTTTTGCAGTGAACTGATGGTGGTCAGAGCGGCCTCATCACCGCTACAACTACAACTGACTTGAAAAGCTGGGGGTTTCAGGGATATTTGAATTTTCTCAGATAATTATGGTGCAGATAATACAAGCCTCACTCATCCTTTTTTTTTTAGTAGAGATAAAAACATACAACAACAAAAGAGCTTTTCTGTTGCTGGAGGACAGAAGGAAATAACTTTCAGGATCCTTTGACTGATCTTATATTGATGGCAGTTTACCGTTTTTTATTGATATTTAAACTAGAAAGTTGGAAGGCTGCATGTCTACATACTGGTAGCTGTAAAAGTGTTGCTATTTTAACGGTTTATAATTGAGCTGCTTTGCATATGCAGCTGCATCTTAGTACGCAGAGGATTATGCCAAAATAACACTTTGGTTCATTTACCCTAAACTGTAGGAGGTATGATGTAGTGGAAGTCTGGCTTTATGGTAATATGCTGATGCAAAATACCAATAAATAAACAAACACGCTGACACTTAGTTGATTTGAATAAATTGGTAGATTAAGGCAGAGTGAGAGAAAGCAAATTCAATTCTTTATTTTTGTCTAT